TCTCAGGGGGTTTCGACAGTAAAAACACTTCTCAAAGACTTGCTAAACTATTCATTTGATGAGAGACTGGGCTAATCCACATGTCAGTAAATCATAGAGTGGCATTTATTAGCTACCCTTTCCCTTAAGATCCTAATCAGCTCCATCCAGATCACTCGCTGCTAAGGCCATACAATACAATACTATTGTAGGTGTAAATAAAGTGCACCTGGGACGAATGACCTTTGTTTGAACTTACGGCATGTTGCAAATAAATGCCAAAGTGTCAATAAATAAATAAAATATCATTTGGCTTTCATGGTTTATGGCTGGTGAGCTGTCTACAGCATTTCACACTGAGGAAGCGACAGAAATACAAAAGGGTAATTTCATTCTGTGAATCCAGTTAGTACATCTTTATTTTTTTTATATAAGACACTTGATGGACTCTAATAATAATAAATGTATGGACTCTAATAATAATAATAAATGTATTTGTTGTCTTGCCCGCCTCTCCTTATGGCTCGAGGCAGGTTACAACACAGCGCAAACACATTACCATACCATATATATCAAAAATATAAAACCACATAAAAATACATATATTAAAATACATAATACTAAAAGGTTGCTTTCAAGACCAGCTGGAATCAAGGGAATTGTAGTTTTACTAATTCTTTAGCCTTTTCCATCAAAGAATGCTGGTGCCTCATCAAATTATGAATCCAAGGATTCCATAGCATTGGGCTATAACAGTTAAAGTAGTATCAAACTACATTAATTCTGAAGTGTAGATGTACCCTTGGTTACTAAGAACAACCCAAGTTTTAGCTCCTTGATCTGAATGATGTTTAAATATTTTGCTGATTTAAAAAATTATATTGTAATGAGACATAAACCAAAAGGGAATATTTTCTTCCAAGTCATAGGCAGAACAGAACATTATATTAAAAAGGCTTATTTGCTAATTATGTATCTTGCAAGAAATAAAGTATGAAAAAATGCATCTGTTTGGAAAGCTTTGTTGTAATAGATACATTCAGTTAATTGATTTTGCTTTGTTATCACTTTTGTCTAAAATAAACTGTGTAAATGAACAACAGGAAAGAACTGTATGGTCACTATACTATTTTGCTAAATTACTTGTCAAAGCAAGATTTTACAGTTGAGGTTCATACCGTTAAGTTAAAAAGACCCAACTAAAAGTGCTCATAGATCATATGATATACAATTATAGCTCTCTACAGTGTGACAACATAGTTACAACTTCCTTTAAATATTGTCCCTTTGGAAAGATCGTTAACTAACTCAAGCCAACTAAACCAAATCAGTGCTATCAAATATGAATTTCACATATGCAAGCATAAATAAACAAGGTTAATATTTTCTGAATTTTAATGGTTTTTTAAATTATGCCATAAGATAAAACAATTCCCACTGTGGCAGAAAAATTACCTTCCTACTTTAACTTTCTTTTCAGATTTATCAGAGAAAAGTTATTTTGAAACTTGTTAAGTACCAAGTTGACTCTCAGTCCCATCTCCTGGGGACGGGAGACAGAGCCTTCTCAGTGGTGGCCCCTCGGCAATGGAATTCCCTCCCCACTAATATTAGATCAACCCCTCCCTTCTGGCCTTCAGAAAGAAAGTAAGAACGTAGCTATAGGATGAAGCATTTGGATAGTAACTGTAGTGCAATAAATGGATACAGAATATGTGAAATGAAAAACAGGAATAGTTCAGGATTACTAACTTTTACTGCATGGTTTTAATCATTGGTGTAATGTTTAGATATTTTTAATTATTTGGTTTCAATGTAAATGTTTGTTTTAATTGTATGTTGTTTCTATGGCATTGAATTGTTGCCAATGTGCAAAGCTGTTTTGTTCACTTTGGGGTGAGAAGGGTGGAGTATAGATATAGTAAATAAATAAATATTCTAAGAGCCGTAGCAAACTACTGGAAGTGAGAGCGAGCTTGTGCTCGAGCTCGCTCTGAAGCCCTGCCTTTTTTTCCCCGAGGCTGCTCTCTCTCTTGCTAGTGTGCCTGTTTTCCCTTGCTAGGGAAGCGATGCGAGTGTACTCTCGCAGTTGGCAGAATTCAACTGTGAGCGTACACTCGCATCCCTGCCCTCTGCAATGGAAAACAGGCACGCTAGCAAGAGAGAGAGCAGCCTTGGGGGAAAAAAGGGGGGGCTTCAGAGCAAGCCCGAGCGCAAGCTTCCTGTAGTTTGCTGCGGCACGAGCGTATGCTCGCAACGCTGCCCTAGCAAAGGGAAATAGGCGGAGAAAGAGGCGGAGCATCGCTCGTGCTGGCTTAGTTTGCTCTCACAAAATCCTAGTTTGCTACGGCTCTAAAAGGGGAAAATGTGCAACAAGTTCTATCAAGATCATCAATTCAGTTCGGTGTTAGCTAGACATCCTTAAAATGTACTATAGACCAAAAATCCTGTTCAATGTCTGAAAAGGAATGCTTTTTTCAATATACTATTGGTAAATATGTTTTCATGAAAAAGGTATCCCTTCTGCTACAAATCCCTGGTGCTGTACATGTTTGATTATTTTGAATAATCTGCCAATCATAGTAACAATGTTCCCATAAAGTCACTAAAAGGATTTCCAGCATAATGAAACGGTAATCACAGCAGCTTGTCTTGCAAGACTTCCTGCTATTATGTCTGTGGGAGTACTAGCAAACTGCAGTAAGACAATTACCTCCAAGCTCCCTGCTGTTACACACTGGCCTCTCATGAGACTACTTATCTTAAAACTACAACTATATGTAGACATATAAGCAAAACATTTAACTGGAATAGGAGTTCAATGCTTTAGCATGTGCCAGTTAATATTAAAGAATTATTAGAAAAATGACACCATCTGAAATGAATGCTCTCAAGCATTTAATTATGCTTTCCTCACTAACACAGAACTCAGCATATGTATTGACTATCTTTTGTTTCCCTGCATTCAGAATTTTTGAAAAGCTGTAATGGTCCCTACACAGAAAAAACTGTTACAGTGGGCCCTCTGATTTGCTGGGGTTTGATTTCATGACCTCCACCCATCCCTACCCTTAGATATAATGTTCAATGCTCATTGTATAAAATGGCATAGTAAAATGGGTGTTCCTTATATAAAATTGTGGTAAACTCTAATAAGTACTGAAGAGAGCCTGAGGATATATGAAATGGCAGAAGCATACAGTACAGTAGGCACACACATCAGCATCATGCTCAGTGCATGGGAAAATCAAGGCTTTCTTTTTGGGATTTCTACTCCAAAATATTTTTAAGTCGTGGTTGGTTAAATCCAAGGATGCAGAATACGTTGATACGGACAGCGTACTCTGCTTCTGAGTATACAGCGAAAAAGACTGTTGTCCAACTCACATTATCAATAAGATTTCCTAAATCTGGTGACAGTTCTAGTGAGTAGACAGAGCCATGAGCCTCAACTAGCACAAACACATCAAATCAATGGTTGAATGACAAGTCCACACTTATATAAGCATCATTATTTAATGAGTCTATGCTAGTTGGGAAAAGCAATTGGATTTATGCCATTCATTGCAAAAGAATCTCCTGAAATTATATTTCTAAAATGCATGCTAATTCAAATTGATATCCTTCATGTCCTATAAATTTACCAAAAAATATTTTAAATTTTGCCATCAGAAATAGTAAATATCAACACTGTATGAAATCTATATTCCACCAGCCTCACTTTGTAAAAAAAAAAAAAAACACCCACAAAACTACACCCACAGTGGTACAATAAAAACAATAAAATATACAATAAAAACAATCAAATATAATAGAACTTGTTAGCATCTGGATCTGGCTTACTAGCTCATAAGAACTCCAACATGAAACTCTGGGTTTCACTACTCTGAAGAAAAATCAGATCTGTCCACTACCATTTATTCAGATATAGAAATAACTTCTGTAGGTGCTATAATTCAGACTGGCAAAACAACATCTGAGGATTCCTTAAGAAACCCCTATGAAAAATTCATGGAGTTGCCATAAATTTGCAGGCAATTTAAAGGCATGCAGGCAGGCATGCACATACACACAGAAAGTCCCAAAACTGTGACTAGATCCTGTGATAAAAATAAACTCAATTTTAACTTTAATCCATTTGACCACTGGAGGCCACTATTGCTCTTCAAAACTTCATAGATAACATTTATTTTCTTCAAATTTTAAGGAAGAGAAGGCAATAATCTAAATCCACAATTAGCAATCAAGTATACTGCTTTTAGGATTTCTGTTTTTGAAAAAAATACTTGTAGTTGCTCACAACCTGACACAACGGATCTCTCAATATTTTTCAGTATCAATATCACAGGGTGGAAGTGATCCTAGACTCATCGCTGAGCCTGGAACCGCAGGTCTCAGCGGTGTCTTCTCCCATTTCAAGGAAACCAACAGACTTTTCAACTACTTATTTCAATGAGGTCTGCCTCGTATTCTATGAACCCCTCCTCTCAAAGGAAACAGCACACTTTTAAAACATTTTTTCAATGGGACCAGCATCACCTTTAAACCACTAATGGCAACAAAAGGAGCATGAAGGGGCATTAACACCACACAAAATGCAGTGTGTCACAAAATGCAGTGTAAATGGACAAATCCACCACTTCCCATCCCAAGGGAAAATACTAATATTAAGCATTTCTGCCTGCAGAGAAAGGAATGGAGTCAATTCCCGTCTGTATTTCAAATCCACCTGTTTCTACAGACTGCACAGACAGACTTCCATGGGAAAACCACAGAACAGATTGTGTGTCGTTTGATAGGGTCCATGAGATTCCATCTTTCAAGTGTGTAGAAATGGAGCAAAACCTTACTGATGAAGTCACTGGGCTGGCATGTCAATGAAAAACAAGGCTGTACTGCATTCACATGGCCAAGCTTTTAATTAAGGCTTCAAGAGTCAAGTCAAGCCATACATGTGTTTTGTTTTTTAATATGAACAAAAGCTGATCGTACAGATTTTAAAAGTTAAAAATTAACAATACCTATAATCAGGCGGACGACTTAGTTGGTCTTCCCTTGACCATCTATATCCTGGATCATCCTACCAAAATAATAAAAAAGGAACAACTGAAAAATAATCACTCCATATCATATTTTTTCTATCATACGTCAGAAGCATAATTTGACAGTTGTTTGTGTGTTGCGGGTCTTCCAATTATTTCTGACTTACACAAACTCTATGTTTCTTCCCACCACCTCCACCCCCTCCCCCAAGAAATTATATGAGTTTACACTGCTATACAATCAATTTTAATGCAGTTAATCTGCATTCAGAAACTGGATTGTATGGCAGTTTAGATGGGCCATATGACTGAGTGTAAATTCAAATATCACAGAGTCCTATTCTAACAATCAAACCACCATACCATGCTGGCTCAAAATGAAAATAAAAAATAAATAAAATAAACTGATGAAAAAATTAATTCAAAAAGATCGGGGCAATGTGCTGAGTTGCTACAGCAATAATTGAATATGTATTATTAGGCTCAAATACTAAAGTTGCTTTGCTGTTTCTGCTACATCCACTGAAGTAACTGAATGCAGTACACATATTCAAGACAAAAAAAAGAGCACAGAAGGGGCTATACAAGTTTCAAGGCAGTACAGCAATCAAAAAGTAATTCCATGTCTCAGGTTTCATCAGTTGTGATCATGACAGCATCACATTTTTATAACTGATTCCACAGACAAAGAATGGTTTTGATGCTTCATCCAGATAGTACACATATGCACGCGCCCACACACACTTTTTGTCTGGTTGCACATATGATTTTATTTGGTGATAGTCTGCAAAAGTCCCATAATAATTAAGGTAGTTTATTCATGATATAAACAAGACATTTCACAGATATTTTTTATTTCATTGTAAAATGACTTACAATCATGTAAAAATGAGTTGCGACATTTCACAACACCGGTATTCTCAAGAGAAGAGACCTATATCTCCAGGGACATGAAGAAATGGAGAAAAGAGTATGGCCACTGCCCTGTAAGTCTCACTACATCATGGATATCCAAGTGTTATGGGGCCGGAAAGCTATGAGAATCGCTAAGCAATGGGAATTTCCATTATGCAACAGAATTATGGAGTGCATGCTCTATATGTACTATCACAATTCATTAGAAATGTTGGATCTTGTCAAAGATGACATCATAATCCCAACCTCTAATGCAAAATCTCAACCTCCAACTGGGACATGTAATTTCCAGTATTGTAAACATAAGGAAAATAAATGGTGAGACTTACAATTCTGTGTGGTGGTCCACTTCTTCTTTCATGGGCCAAACCACGTCCTTCTCCATAGTCTCGATAGCCAATATGATGAGAATGGCCATAGTCAAATCTGTATTCCCCAGGTCTCTCTGTAAGCTTCTTTGGTGCAAAGTTCACTACTCGATAGGGATCCTAAATGGTGAAATATATAATATGCTATTTTGAAGAAATCTAGTAAAAAATAATAAGCCCCCAAGATTAATAAACAGTGGCTTTTAAACTTGATCCGTACAAAATGAAATCAAGATATAGTCTCTGTTAAGAAAAACACATTAAATGAAAAAGCCTAGAAGCGATACAACGAGCGGTTAAAATTAGAATTCGTAAATTCCTGTCAAATTGTGGTTATCACATAGAAATCCTTACAGCCAAATACACATTTGAACTGGACAATGCATATCCCAGGGTTTCTCAGCTATTTTTGCTTTGCACTGGCTCAAACTCAAAATCTGGTAACTTTTTGTCTGGTTGCACATATGATTTTATTTGGTGATAGTCTGCAGAAGTCCCAAAATAATTACTTCAAAGGAAATTAAAATAAACTGATCCTTTGCTAGAAGGGCTTTTGTAAAATATACTCCTCACAAATACACTGGGAAGTTGTTAGTTAAATGATAGTTCCGCCTTTCATTGGATCTTGTTGCTAACTTGATGCTGTAAGAATGACTGACTGTCCAACTATACCCTTATCAATCTCATCCAAAATTCACCGTGTTGACAATGGAGAAAACTTTCTGGCTCCTGCAAATAGAATTAAGAAATTTCAACTTTTACTGTAAGGTGAGTAAATGCCTTCTAATTTTAAAATGATACCATCCATAAGAACTACATAGAGAGTATAGGGAGCAAGGAGAAAATCAAAGGAGGAGGAGCTCATGAATAAACTACCTTAAGTTATATGTCTAATGAAATAAGTCTTTCTGTCTAACCAAATAATTAGAAACATGCCCAGGAATCTTAGTATGGTCATATCTCAAGGTCATGTGCCCATCCAAAAGGAAAAAGAGTGATCCAAAGGAGTTTATTTTTTATTTATTTTGTATCAAAAGCATTGCATAAATTAGTATAAAAACTAATAAAAATAGAAGGAGCACAAGCATATAAATATTTTTGACCAAAAACGGGCAGCAGCAATCACATTGTCTGTAGCCTCACACAATTCTTACTCTGTAAATGAGGCAGGACACTGCGGACAAGCATACACATGCAGAGTCGTCTGTTCTGCTCCACAGTCGCATAAGGTGGAGGATTCTTTTAGGTAGTGCCATTTTGACAGGTTGTCTTTTGATCTTCCCAGTCCACTTCTGAGTCTGATCAGGGACTTCCAAGTTGCCCATTCTTGGTTTGCAGACCCTCATGGGAGGGGGGGGCATCCATTTGGCATTTCCTGGTTTAGCTACCCAGAGGGATACTTTTGCTATTGCTGGAGGAATGTTAAGAGGAGTGGTGGTTCTCATGAAGCTTTCCCTTGATTTGAGTCTACTAGGAGGAGGCTGATAGCCATGCAGTGGATGGCATTCACAATGTTCAGCCTTATTTCTCTCAGTTAGAAGCAACTTCTTGTCGCACATGGGGGGGGGGGGCAATGCCAGCTAGCTTGTAGAGTTTATCAACAGGTGTAGGTTTGAGACATCCTATGATTATTCTGCATGTTTCGTTCAATGCTATGTGCACCTGCTTCGCGTGGGCAGATTTATGCCAAACAGGGCAGGCATACTCGGCAGTTGAGTAAGACAAGTTCAGAACTGATGTTTCTATCAATTTTGGGTCTACACTCCATGCGCTGCCAGTAAGTTTCCACAGGATGTTATTGCGTGCAAGCTACTTTGTGCTTGGTGTTCATGCTGTGTTTCCTAAATGTTAGTGTTCGATTTAAGGTGACACCAAGATATTTAGGATGGAAACAATGTTTTAAAGCTTCTGGCAAAACAGGACATATAATGTTAATTATTTATGTTTTTATTGGTTTTGTATGTTTTTATATTATTTGCTAAATGTTTTTAAATTGTATTTTATGTTGTTGGGGGTAACCAATTGTACCGACTGTAAACCGCCTTGAGCCGCTTTCAGGCTGAGAAAGGTGGTACATAAATATGGCAAATAAATAAATAAATAAATTTACCCAAAACCAAACTGAATATAAAAAAGTCACCCTAGGTAATAAATGCTAATACCTGAGGATTTATGCTGCCAAATGTATACTGCATGCCCTGAAAATAAAATAATTTCAAAAAGAGTTTTTAAAATACCATTTATGACCAAAAAGACTAAAAAAATGAACTTGTTTATTTTAGACCCGGTGGACTAGATCCACAAAGACCAGCTTTCATGGGTCCTCATGCCCAGGACAAATAAATGGTGACAACATGGGCATGCTAAAGTGTGCATATTCATGTTGCCACCATTGAATAATATAGGGCATGATTATCTTTGTGTTTCTGTATTCATGATGGGCCCTGTAACCAAAACCCCATGGATGTGGCAGGCCTACCGTACCTTCAGCAAAAGTTCTCAGGAAAGGAACACTAGAATAGCATAAAACAATGACAGAAGGACATTCAGGTATTATGTCATGCTCTTTAAGAATGTGTGCCTGACCTGATATGGATAACAAAGTAAATGGTCAGGGAACTACTTGGAGACATAATTTCAAAGGTGCAGCATCATAATCAAGAAATTGTTACTTCAAAAATTGGTAGGAATACTTGATCAAGAAGTTATCCAATGCATGAACAGTTATGGAAAATATAATCCAATCTCATACTAGGTAGATATTGAAGGACAGATAGCAATATTCTGATTAGAAATTATTCAGGTTTGATTTAACAACACCCATTCTAGAAACTAACATTGAGGAAGGGTTTTGATCTATTACTGAAGTCCGGGAAAAGTGACTCAAAATTTTATTCTCCCCACAGATATAAAACTAAATATGGCATGCTCTAATATGGCATGCTCTAAACCGGCTCTACAAACCCTGTGAGTAAGCACTTCAAATTAAATAGCCAACTGTTCCTAATTTCTGACCTAAATGTAGTCTTAATAGCTTTATATGTTGGCTGCTCATATGTTCTATAGACAAATTTTATTTAGAAAAATAGAAGACACTAACAAAAAGTAAAGCTTTCCCCTTGACATTAAGTCTTGTTGTGTTCAATTCTGTGTGGTGGTGCTCATCTCCATTTCTAAGCTGAAGAGCCAGAGTTGTCGGTAGACACTAATATCAGTACGGAAATGGAATACAGTTTATGTTAATTAATATTCCACAGTATATGCAAATACACAACTTCCCCTAAGTCCAATTGCTGGTGTAAGGCAGAACAGGCTCATCCTCTGAATTAATGGAAAGTCCCTATGAGCTAATTTGAAGATCTACTGTAGCTGTAATAACTAGAATGTACCCTCAAGATTTAAAGGGGAAAGGGTCATGGAGGAATTCCCTCTTGTTTCTGCACAGAATCAAAAATGTGTTTGGTGCAGTTTTACACACCACTCACTTAGGAAATCATTCCCACTAAATTAATTTCTGACAGAAACAGAGAAAACTGGGGAGCAGCTTTGATTACATTGTGTTTTTGAACAGAAAGTAACTGTCTCTGAATATTTAAACTGAATTTGACATTTATTACAAACAAAAAGACTGTTTTATACTGAATAGAGCTTTTTTCTGGTTTCCAAGAATTAAAAAAAATGGTAGGTTGTGACTGTGCATAAGATGCCATGTTTTATAGTCACAAATTGAATTAGCTCAATTCACACCTTTTGTGCAGTTCTATAGCAAAAGAGGAAGGAAATACATGGGGAAGTGGGGAATTTGTCCAAAGGCTAAATCTCTATCACAAAATATCTTTATCATTTTTAAAAGCCTGACACAGTCCAACATATGTATCTGAGAACTAATCAGAAATGATATGTACATTTTAAAATATTTTAACACTATTATTTGTTGTAAACTACAAATACTACCCATTTCTGCCTTTCCTAACATCAACCAAAGATAAAATAATGCAAAGCAGGTAAAGAGTTTCACAGTGACAGATTGCTGTAATTAAAAATATATTGTCCAATCCGCATTTACTATTCTTGAACGGACCCAAGTTGATGGAATTCCCAAATAAAGAACATACAAAATCTACAATACACAATCATCAAGACTCCTAGCCCAGTCATTATAACAGATATAAATAAGGTAAATAAATAAATATATAAATAAATAAATAAATAACAGAGCAGTTGTTCATGGTGACATAATAATTGGCGAATAAAAACCATGAAGAAGGAACTATCCACTCAAATTACAGAATGCACATAAAGAACAACCTATTTACCTCAGGACGTGGGGGAAGTCGTTCTCGTGGAAGTCTTTCATATTCATACCGCTCATCAGACCACATGTCATCTCTTCGGTATGCCACTAAATGTAGAAGTTTTATGAAGTTACTCTTTGGCAAGGAATGAGGGGTACATTATATAGGGAAAGTCTTCACCACAAGCTGACAGGCATTTATTTGATAACCAGCATATCTATCCAGCATTGCCTGGGTGTCGGAGGGCCATTGCCCCTCTGCTTTCATCCCTTTTTTTCTCTTTCTCTCATCTCATACCTTTCCCCCCTTTGTTTTCTCTTCCTTCCCTCTCTCCTTTTTCTTTCCTCCCTTCCATCTCCCTTCCTTTCTTGTTCTCTTTCTTACTTTCTTTCCCCTCTCCTTTCTCTAGCTCTGAGCTTACAGTGACAACCATAATAACATAGTTCTTTCCTTCATCCCTCTCATACATATCACCTTTTTTTCCTAGTCACATCACAGAGGGCCACTTTATCTAGCAAAAGTTTTTCTAATACAAATAGACAGACAGAAATGCAGATAGATGGATCTATGATAGACAGATTTCCACTGATTTCAGTGAAATATTCCCAAAACCAGTGTAGTAGCAACCCCTACAGGAGTAGCAGGTGTTCACACAACTTTTACTGTATAAACCTCTATGCCAGTAGTTCTCAACCTGTGGGTCCCCAAATGTTTTGGCCTTCAAGTCCCAGAAATCCTAACAGCTGGTAAACTGGCTGGGATTTCTCGGAGTTGTAGGCCAAAACACCTGAGGACCCACAGGTTGAGAACCACTGCTCTGTGTGAACAGAGAATGCCACACCTCACAAGGCTTATACAGTGAGCCCCTATTAAAAATATTCAGAAAGTCCCAATTAAAAACAGCTGCCATGGCTCCACTCTACCTCAAGTACACAAAATAGCAGGCATATTACATTTTGATTCTTCTGCTCCAGTTGCTCTAGATTCAGCTCAGGAATCATAAGGACTCTCACTTGCAGTTAAGATCTGATCAATACCCATTTGAGTTTTTGGTTATACCAAACATTCAAAGCTTAGAACAGAGCCTGGCACTTTTACAGGAGATTTTTTTTTCTTACATTGCTACTATACATACTCATTCAGATACATCAGCAACACACCATTTACATGTGTTCCTGCAAGATGCAGAACTCTTCAGCAGAACTAATACAAACTTCAAGGGACTTTGTGTTGGCAATCAGAACCAACTCCAACATCTGAACTTTGCACAGGATTGAGTTAAAGAAATCAAGTCTACACATTTTCCTCATTCTTCCATAGCACGATAAGATGTATGAAGAATTACAACCAATATTTGAGCGAGACTAAATAGAATATATTCAGAGACATCAACAATGTTTTAAATCTATAATAGCTTTTTCAAGGAGTATACCATTAGTGGACAAATTTTAAAAAGACAAATGAGAAAATTTGTTTTGGTTCTTTTTGTTACTATCAGAAGAGTCTCTGTAGCATAAGAAATGCCAACTTTTAATGAAATTTGATAGAACTGAGAAATTTGATAGAAGAAACTTTTTTGCCTAATCATTTTTTCTCGTTCCTTTAAGAAAAAAAACCAGAGTATACTGTTTGAAATCTCCCTGCTCTTATAAATCATATTACTTTCCCAAAAATAACTTCATTCCCCAAAAATAATTTCTCAGGGTGCAACTACACTGAAGAATTAATGCAGTTTGACACCACTGTAACTGCTAAGGTAAATGCTACAGAATCATGAGAGCTGTAGTTTTCAATCTCTCTTAAGTCTTCTCTACCAGAGTGCTGGTGCCTCACCAAATGACAACTCCCATGATTCCAGGACGATTAAACTGCATTAAGTCTACAGTGTAGACACACCCTCAGTCACCAGTAGCCTGATCCCTTATCTATGTTGTCTGGAAGAAATACCCTAGCATTCTTGGAGGGATTTTAGCCATAAGAAATAATCTCTCTTCCCAATCCTCAGCATTGTTATGTTTACTTTCGCAGACATAACAAGTTTCAGTAAGATTACAGATACAGTATTTGTACCCACTTGTGTAAAATAAACTCACAAAAGATCTTCCTATACATGCACACACAACTCCCCAAATGGTCCACTTGTCAGATGCAAATTTGCAAGTATTTTTAGTAGTAGTTTCTCTAACCATAGGTCAGTACCTAAATTTCTGTCAAGCATGAAAATAATCAGCTTAAGCTTTTGGCCACAGACTTGCAAAAGAGAGTGTCAAGAGATATCAATAACAGTCCAGTCCTGTTAACAAGTGGGCGTACTTTAGTTTCAATGAACAAAAATAGTAAATCCATACATAGAATTACAATAAAACAGAAACTATGGGATTGATTTCAGCTAAGTCAATAGAACTCATTTCTACAAAGCATATGTGAGTTTCTGCAATAAATTTCTGTACAGCTTTCTGTGTACGCATGCATAATAAACCAGAAAATATCCAACATAACTGTTTGAAAAATGCACATTTATTTATTTGCGAAATTTATATGCCTCCCTTCTCATCCCATAGGCGACTCAGAGTGGCTTGCAAGATATATATATACATACAATGTATTATATTATTAGCATAGCAAATATCAGTATTATATATTACTATATTGTACTATACCATTATATTATAATATTATTAGTATTATATGTAATATAAAATATATAATTATAATATTGTATTATTATTGTATTACATTATAATATTATAAATATTATATGTATATACTATATATTATATTATATTATTAGTAAAGCACAAGGGACAAGATGGAACTGTCTTCTGCCCCCTCTCTCTTCACTTGGGTTTTAATAAACAAGCAAACAAACCGAAAAGTAACTAAATTGTAAATAGAATTCAATGACTCTTTTATGTTGTAGCAGAACTAGCAGTTTTTGTCCCATCATCAAAGATAGCATTTTCAAACACTACTTACTTTTGTGTTTGACAACAGTTCCTTCACTCCAAATCAACTAGATCCTGTGTTCTAAAAACAAATGCATTAAAAAATATCAATTAAACATTAAGTATAACAAAGATTAGAGCCATGTACTTCAGACTCCTGTGTAAATAGAAATCCGAAGTAGACACCTATCTCTTGTATTATTTTTAACTCATTCTGGCTTTTGACCTGTTACAAGGATGAAAATACGACTCTCAGAACTGCCATAGAATGCTGGCTGTCTTCATGATGCACAGCTACTTCTGGGGCATATCATAAACTTTGCCAATTTGGTCAAAGTCAGGGGCCTCTTCTACACTGTCATACAAAATCCAGATTATCTTATTTGAACTGGATTATATTGCAGTGTGGCAAACACATACAATCTAGTTCAAAGCAGATAATGTGGATTATCTACTTTGATAATCTGGATTATATGGCTATATAAAAGGAAGCGAGGATACTCCACTTTGCTGGAAACTCTAGGATATCCCACAGCTTCAGAGTAGTCTGCACAGCCAGACCGTGTCCAATCAAACAGATCCACTGTCGAGATAGAACATAATTCCTCACTCCTAGCTGGCCATGGAATTCTTTGCAAGTTCCTGTCCATCACAAGTGTTGACATCAGAATGGGTTGCGAAACAATGCGAAACAATGGCTACAAACTACAAGAAAGGAGATTCCATCTGAACATGAGGAAGAACTTCCTGACTGTGAGTGCCGTTCAGCAGTGGAACTCTCTGCCCCGGAGTGTGGTGGAGGCTCCTTCTTTGGAAACTTTTAAACAGAGGCTAGATGGCCATCTGTCAGGGGAGATTTGAATGCAATATTCCTGCTTCTTGGCGGGGGGTTGGACTGGATGGCCCATGAGGTCTCTTCCAACTCTTTGATTCTATGATTCTATGCCCACATGACTAACATGAAGAAGAGAGTCCATCCTTCATCCTTCTTCCCGGTCACATAGGCATCTATATCGGAATGGGGTGCACAACCAGGAAGGAGTAGGGACTGTAATAATAAAGGAGATGACAGAGGCATCGTAAACAGCCAGAAGCTCAGGCCCCTTCTATAAAGCCATAAAATCCAGATTATCAAAACAGATAATCCACATTATATGATTTGACCTGGATTATATGAGTCTAAACTGCTATATAATTCAGTTCAAAGCAAATAACCTGGATTTTATATGGCAGTGTAGAAGGAGCCTCACGCAGAGCTTTGTACGTAACTAGGAGTGGTGGTGATAACACTGAGGCCCCTTCTACTCTGCCACATAATCCAGATTATGAAATCAGATGATCCAAATTATCTGCTTTGAAATGGATTATATGAGTCTACATTGTCAATAGGTACCGCTCCTGCGGGAAGGTAACGGCGCTCCATGCAGTCATGCCGGCCACATGACCTTGGAGGTGTCTACGGACAAAGCTGGCTCTTCGGCTTAGAAATGGAGATGAGCACCACACCCCAGAGTCAGACATCACTGGACTTAATGTCAGGGGACTACCTTTACCTTTTTTACATTCTCATATAATCCAATTCAAAGCAGATAATCTGGATTTTATATGGCAGCGCACATGGGGCCTGAGAAACTGAAATGTGCACCATCCCAGCTGGACTCCCCAGGACATATTTGCACCAGGACGAATTGCCCAGTGAAGATGTGCCTTTAGCTGCTACATTCTAAAGCTACATAGACAACATAACTGGGCTAAAAGTTGTGTGGGAAAGTTGATTAAATCAAACACAATTCAGGGACCGTTCAATTCCCCTGTTGCGGCAGCTCCATTGGTTACCAGTCAGCTACCGGGCACAAGTCAAGGTGCTGGTTTTTACCTTAAAAGCCCTGAGTGGTTCAGGCCCAAGCTATCTGTCTGATCGCATCTTCCAATATGACCCTGCCGGAACCCTATGATCTGCTGGGGAGGCCCTGCTCTTGGTCCAACCTCCATCACAGGTGCAGTTGCTGGGTATGAGGGAGAGGGCCTTCCCGGCAGTGGCTCTTCGGCTCTGGAACTCAGGATATCAGAATGGCTCCCTCCCTGCTTTCCTTCAGAAAGAAAATAAAAACTTTCCTCTGGAGGGAAGCTTTTGGGGAAGACAATGAGCACGTTAAAGGATAGTGGATTTTGACATTATGGTAACGAGTTGGGAGCTGGTTTTTAATTACAGCTGGTTTTAATTATTGCTTTATTGTGTACTGTAGTTTTATATAATGTGTCAATTTTTTTTATAATTGTGATTTATATTTATGTTTTGTGTTTTTGTATTGTCTCAGATTCCTATAGCATCGAATTTCTGCTGAGAATTAACCATTCCGAGTCCCTCAATGAGGGAGAGAGGGTGGGGTATAAAACAAAATAAATAACATCCTTCACTCTGAAGAACAGAAATACTGGTGATGGCTATCCACACAGGACAGTTATTTAAATACACAGTTCTGCATATATTGTGGGTATAAATGCCACAGAAAGCAAGGAACTACAGCTAAAGTAGTTCCCCATTTAGTTGCACATCCACGTATATCTGTCTGTCTGTCTGTCTGTCTATCTATCGCAGGCTTAGGCAACTTGGGCCCTCCAGGTGTTTTTGGACTTCAACTCCCAAAAATTCCGAACAGCCTCAGGCCTCTTCTTTTTTCCTCTCAGCTGCTCCAGTGACTGAGGGGGGAAAGGAAGGGGTCTGAGGCTGTTAGGAATTGTCAGAGTTGAAGCCCTAAACAACTGGAGGGCCCAAGTTTGTCCATGCCTAATCTATAGTTAGCTATACATTTGGCCCACTGTATCCAGAGATTCTTGGCCTATTAATTCCACTTACATTGAATATTTATTTATTTATTTATTTTGGACATTTATATCCTACCCTTCTCACCACTGAAAGGGGACTCAGAGCAGTTTACAACTGGCATGCATTAGATGCTACTAAAACAATAGCAATAAAATCACAATTAAAACACTAAACAATAAATTAAAACATTCAATTAACAAATCCAAAACCAAATCCACATCCAAAGTCATCATCTGAGGTCTTTCCATTGTCAATCACAGAAATAGTATACATTATTAATGCTGCACCTGCTGCTCGAATGTCTGGTCCCATAGCCACGATTCAAGCTTTTTTCTAAAGGACAAGAGGGAAGGGGCCAACCTGGTTTCAGCGGGGAGCATGTTCCACAGATGGATGGCCACCACAGAGAAGGCCCTGTCTCTCGTCCCCTTGCCAGGGGACGATCACGCTTGCCAGGGTGGTGGGGTCAAAAACAGGGCCTCCCCCAACGAACTTAAGCGTCGAGGTGGATTGTAGAGAGAGATACATTTGGACAAGTAAGCTGGGCCGGAACCGTATAGGGCAGTGGTTCTCAACCTGGGCCCCCAGATGTTTTTGGCCTTCAACTCCCAGAAATCCTACCAGCTGGTAAACTGGCTGGGATTTCTGGGAATTGTAGGCCAAAAACATCTGGGGACCCCAGGTTGAGAACCACTGGTATAGAGCTTTATAGGCCAAAGCCAGCACTTTGAATTGGGCCCGGTTACAGACTGGCAGCCAGTGGAGCTGACATAACAGGGGGTGGTATGCTCCCTGTTCGCCACTCCGGTGAGCAATCTGGCTGCCGCCCGTTGGAACTGAAACTTCCGAACAGTCTTCAAAGGCAATACCACATGGAGTAATCTATACGGGCGTAACAAGAGTGTGGAGCACCGTGGGCAAAAGCAAATCTTCAGATTTTGGGAAGAAGATATCAGAAAATACTCTGATACAGAGCAATGCCTTCCTTCATTTCCTTGCCAAAGTCTAAAGGAAGGGGAAATCCATGCTGACATATCATATAGATGTCTATACAAACCTAAGGTCCCTTCCACGCAGCTGAATCAAATCCCACAATATCTGCTTTGAACTGGAATATATGGCAGTGTGGACTCAGATAACCCAGTTCAAAGCAGATCTTGTGGATTATCTGCCTTGATATTCTGGGTTATATAGCTGTGTGGAAGGGCCCTCAGACTCTCTTCCCCATATGGCTGTGTGGAGGGGGGCTTGATGCTCTCAATGGAGAAAGACCTGAGGGAACCAAAACAACGTCACTTAAAGAAAAAAACAAAATCTCGCCTCTTTCTCCCAACGAACTCAACCGCCGCGAGTCCAAACCAGCGCCGCACGGAGTCGGGAAACAGGCCACTTCCGGCGCGTTGCCTGACGACACCAGAAGTGTCCCGTTTCATATTCCCTCCCCTTTGTCCTTACCATAAAGATGGAATTCAAGCGGGAACAGCGAGGCCCCGCTCTGGTCCTTCAAGCACCGGAAGCCGGAAATGAGGGCTGGGCTCTGTCACATACCAACACTGCGTTCCCAACGCTAGGCCTCCAATTACGGGGACTTCAACTCCCAGAAGCCTCAGCTGCCTTGGCTAATGAATCAGGATTCTGGGAGCTGAAGTCCAAAGCCACTGGAAGGCCGGAAGTTTGGGAAACCCTACATTCTGGCCTAGCACTACATTCTACTTCCTGTAGTTTTGGAGTTATTTATATTATTAAGCCAAACCCCAGATTTCCACAAGACGTTACCATGGCAGCAATAGCGGAATGTAACACTGTAGTAGGGCGATGACGAAGTGAAATAGACTTGTGGCACGTTTAAGTGGTTGTTTGGATATTTTTGTCAACTCCATTCTATCGTTCGTCGCGATCCTTTGAAAGAAACCCTAATGGTCGTCTAATAGGTGAGTCCGACTTTTGCCTTTCTTGTAGTGGGCCCTAGAGTTGCCAAAATCCGCTGGATAATGGAGAAAGGCAGGGAGTTTCAGAAAAAAAAAACATCTATTTCTGTTTTATTGACTATTCTAAAGCCTTTGACTGTGTGGATCATAATAAATTGTGGCATATCTCAGCAATATGTCCTCTAAATGCACGTTATATCGACTTAGGATTGCTTGTACACCCCCACCTCACCTTCCTTGTTCATGCCCAGCATTATTTTTTAAATTGTAAATTACATTTGGCCCAGCCATAGGTTTTAAATGTGCTATTGTCATCGTTTTTTTGTTTATTTTGTTTATGAGATTTATTTTAACTGTTTTATATTGTTGTTCTTGCTTTTTTTTATTGTAGGCTCGGCTTCATGTAAGCTGCACTTGGGAGATAGGGTATAAATAAAGTTTTATTATTATTATAAGTTCTTGGTGGTATGGGGATAACAAATCACCTTGTCTCTCTCCTGAGGAATCTGTATAAGGACCAAGTAGCAACAGTAAGAACTGACCATGGAACAACAGAATGGTTCAAGGTTGGGAAAGGCGTACGGCAGGGTTGTATACTCTCACCCAACCTATTCAACTTGTATGCAGAACACATCGTGCGATTTGCAGGGGTTGACGAATGCAAGGTTGGGGTAAAAATTGCTAGAAGAAACATTAACAACCTCAGATATGCAGATGACACCACTCTGATGGCCGAAAGCGTGGAGGAGCTGAGGAGCCTTCTAATCAAGGTGAAAGAAGAAAGCGCAAAAGCTGGGTTGCAGCTAAACATAAAAAAAACCAAGATTATGGCAACAAGAATGATTGACAACTGGGAAATAGAGGGAGAAAATGTGGAAGCAGTGACAGACTTTGTATTTCTAGGTGCAAAGATTACTGTAGATGCAGACTGCAGCCAGGAAATCAGGAGACACTTACTTCTTGGGAGGAGAGCAATGTCCAATCTCGATAAAATAGTGAAGAGTAGAGACATCACACTGGCAACGAAGATCCACATAGTTAAACCAATGGTATTCCCCATAGTCACCTACGGATGTGAGAGCTGGACCATAGGGAAGGCTGAGCGAAGGAAGATTATTTTGAACTATGGTGTTGGAGGAGAGTGCCTTGGACTGCGAGAAGATCAAACCAGTCCATACTTCAGGAAATAAAGCCCGACTGCTCATTGGAGGGAAGGATAGTAGAGGCTAAGATGAAGTACTTTGACCACATCATGAGAAGAAAGGAAAGCTTAGAGAAGACGATGCTGGGGAAAATGGAAGGAAAAAGGAAGAGGCGCCGACCAAGGGCAAGATGGAAGGATGGCATCCTTGAAGTGACTGGCTTGACCTTGAAGGAGCTGGGGGTGGCGGCGGCCGACAGGGAGCTTTGGCATGGACTGGTCCATGAGGTCACGAAGAGTCGGAAATGACTGGATGAATGAATAATAAATAATGGACCCTTTTGCATTTCGTCATCAGAAGGCGACAGGCATCGGAGTTCTAGGCTGCAGACGGAGGCAAGAGCGATGGCCCAGTCCGGCTCTGACTGAGAGACTTATCGGGGTCAGAGGTGCATTGGAACCGGCCTTGTTTCCACCTTCTGAGATGATGGCTACAGTATTCCTGCTTTTTTATCTCCCAGATCCTTAGATTTTCTCCAACATTGAATCTCTTAAGTAAGCAAATGCATAAGATGCAAGGCTGGAAAGGGACTGAGGAATTGAGAAACAATGAACAAGAATACCTCCTCTGTTAGTATAACTGAAGAAAACCACAGGCTTTCTGTCTGGGATTTTTATTTGTTTGCTAATTTATAAAAGTGTGAATTCAGTAACTGGAAATGATGCTACTTTATGATGAAAGTTCACAATTTTGCTTTCTATCTCTGCAGGAAAAAAATGAGTGGAGGATTAGCTCCAAGCAAAAGCACAGTTTATGTGTCTAATTTGCCCTTCTCATTGACAAACAATGACTTATACAGGGTAAGTAAATGTAAATATTATTGAGTTTAACTTAGCTTTTCATGTGTATAAACAGGGAATCTTATTTTTCTTTATTTTCTGGAAAATACTCCTTTGAATTCTTATTTTATCATAAACAGTTACATTCTTTATTTGTGTTTTTTTTTTCAGATTTTTTCCAAATATGGCAAAGTGGTTAAGTGAGTATGGTGATATTCTGTATTGTGTTTTGTTTAAATGTGGAGTCTGAAAGTTAAGATCTTTTTGGGGGGTATTCAGTATTTTCTTTGCTTTATATTTATCCGGCCTTTTCCCCAGTATAGAACTCAAGGCTGTAGGTAGAAAACTTGCTTAGTAATTTCACTAGACAATTATTTCTCAAATAGGTGATGTTTGGCAGGCACCAAAAGTGATGTGGGTGCTCCTGATTATTCCAGTCTTTTCATTTCAGTCATTTTAGACTGGAAGGGGACTTGTTATGTTGTAATTTTTAAACAAGAAGGAGCCCAAATTTTTTGTCAATCTTGTTCCCGTGACCCAGAGATGCTTATCACTTAAGAGATGCCAACCACTATATGCTGTCATACCTTCTTCCTATCCCTGAGATTTTTGTTCTTTTTTAATACATTTAGTCCTTCAATATTTCTTTTGATCTCAGAACATCATCCTGGATTCTTTTTCATATTCAGATCCTAATGCATGCCAGAGATTGTAGTTTTTCTGGGAAGGCTTTTCCTGGAGAGTTAAGAGTGTCGTTCACAAATCGACATGGCTTATTTGCATTGATGTGTACGCAGAATTCTTTAGATTTTTATAGAGAACAAGAAGCTGGAAGCTATTAGTGCTTCTCATGTACTCCCATTGAGTGTTTTGATAAATAATTTCACTTCAGAAAAGGTTCTGTTCATCATATTTACCAACCTGAGAAGTCTTGCTGATGGATCAGAGAAGCACAGTTCCTATGATGATTCAATGAGTTTGGTAGCAACTGCAGTGATGGCAAATTTGGTGATTTGCAGAAAGCCCAGGAGCAGTACAGCCTCTCCCCCCCCCCCCCCGGACATCTGTAATGTAAACATTGTTGTTATAGTTCAGAAATACAAATAGTTATAACAGGATGAACTTTATCATGAATGATGCTTTAAGAAACTGCACTAGCTCTTTGTTCATCTCAGTTCCTTGGTTGTCTTTTAGAGTTACAATTATGAAAGACAAAGATACCCGAAGGAGTAAAGGGGTTGCATTTATTTTGTTTTTGGATAAAGAATCGGCACAGAACTGTTCTCGGGCACTTAACAATAAGCAAGTAAGTGGCAGTTCATGTCTAAGAAAAAGGTTTCAAGGTATTCAGAAGCCTAAGATTGTATTGTAAGCTTCCCGCTTTTTCTTCTAGCTGTTTGGAAGAGTAATAAAAGCAAGTATTGCTATTGACAATGGAAGAGCTGCAGAATTCATCCGAAGGCGAAACTACTATGACAAATCAAAGTGCTATGAATGTGGAGTAAGTACATTTACAGTGTCACAGAAGAAATAAGTAATATTGGTTTGTTGCTCAAATTGGTTTTGTCAAAGTATGCACTTGGGCTACTAACTAGTCACTTGATTGGTTTTTGTAATTCTTATTGGAAAAATCTACTTCATAAATTATCCCCAATTTTGCACACCCCTTGTACACTGGCACACTTTTAATGTTAGTCTCTTAAACAATTCAAAATCTATTGTAAGTACTGTAGTTTCCTTTTACGTTATTACTGATCTTCTTTAGTATTTCTACATGCTGCACTGTTGCTCCCAAAGACTAATTTGTAACTATATTGTATTTATATCTTGATTTTGTAAGGAGAATAATAGCAGTTTAGTTCTTTATTACACATAAAGTATAAGTGTAATATATCGATTCTCCAAGGTGTTCTCCTTCTTAATGATTTCTGTTCACTGTTTTTTCTTTCCTTAAGGAAGCAGGACACTTAAGCTATGCTTGTCCTAAGAATATGCTAGGAGAACGTGAGCCACCCAAAAAGAAAGAAAAGAAGAAAAAGAAGAAAATAGCTGAACCAGAAGAAGAAATGTAAGTGCGTGGTTTTGTATGAGGCAATATTTGACACAGCTACGTGATCATAACATAATGTGAGTTTCCTACTTTTTTGTATACCATTCAGTGAGGATGAAGAAGAGAGTGAAGATGAAGGAGAAGACCCTGCTCTTGACAGCCTCAGTCAAGCTATAGCTTTCCAGGTACTTTTCAATGCTCAGTTTTTAAATAGCAAACAGGATGTGGAGCAAACTGTTGCTCTGCTTTCTTTGGTGCTTGTAATGAAAAGCCAAAGAGTTCTCCCCATGAAGATGTTTATCTGTTCTCTGCTGGACTGGATGAATCTATTTACATGGATGGCTGTTCCCTCTGAAGTCATCAGTTCTCATGCATCACTAGTTCCCTTTGACTAGAGTTCAATTAAGGCTGCTGACTACTACCACATTTTAAAACCAGAACTCAGTGCCTTCTTCTAGTCACCATTTGATTCACCAGTAGCAATGTCAAATCACTCCTAGTTACTGTATGAGATTATTTTATATGGTTTTTAATTTTTTTGTCAGCAGGAAACCTTTGGAAACACAATTTAAAGCTGTAAATATACAAGTCTAAATGTTTGTGAATTCCCCTTCCAAACTGGGGAGTATGAAGCCCAGAGAGTGAATGAGGGAACAAGAGCCATACATGCTGCCCACGGCCACAAGAATCCCACTCTTGGTTTTCAGCCATGCTATTTCAGTGGAATGTAAAAGTTTCAATGTGTTAATAATAATCTATATAAATAAAATGTAATGTTCGTTTGTGATACCATCAGAACTCAAAAACCACTGGGGCAATTGGCACCAAATTTGGACACTAGACACTATCTCAAGCAAGCTATGTCCTCCACTCACAAAAACCCAAAAAAAACACTTCCCCCCCCTCCCCCCTCTGAAAGACGTCCAACCGTAAGCCTCAGGGGGGGAGGGGGGAGGGAAGGAGTGCACGTGCATGGCTAGCAGCAAGTGTGCGTGCATAGCAGGCTCCCACGGAGGCTCTCTGTTCAGGAGGCTCTCTGTTCAGGAAAAGCCCTCATCCCCGCAGACCTGTCTCATGCTGCCTAGGCTGCTCTGCCTCTCCAAAGTTGATCTATCCAGACCCTACTAATCTACCGCCGATGGAATTGATTCGGGAGAAAGAAAACTGTGGAAGCAAAAGCAATCAAGCTCAGAGCAGATCCATTGATAACCCAGGCTCAGAATACAGAAACCCCAATCCAATTCATGTCAGGCAGGAAGACGCCATTCAAGCCCTCCCAACAGATGGCCATCCAATTCCAACCCCATTCTGCCAGGCAGGAAGACACCATTCATTCTACAAATATAGCATCCCAAGCATATAGGATCAAATAGCATAATAATAATAATAATAATAATAATAATAATCCAAAATAATAAATATATCAACTATAATAGGCTTTAAGTCAATGATATGACACATAAAAATCTATCCCAAAGAACTACAAAAAATTGAACTGGCCCAACGAAACCATACAGCTATGTTATAATTGGCAATATATATCTATAAATTTATATAACCCTTTCAAAATATTTTTGATAACATGTTAATTATAAAATACTTATTTAATTTTAAAATATTTAATTATTTTCATTTTAAAATATTTAACTTTTGAATACTTCATTTAGATATTTTAACTTTAAAATATTTAAAATATTTGTTTAATTTAATTATAAAATATTTAATACTTTAGTTCTAAAGTATTTCATTTACATATTTTGATTTTAAAAATTATTATTTACATTACATTATTTTATTTTAATATTTCAAATTTAAAATATAAAATTGTTTTATTTTAATATTAATCCTTTAATTTTAATATTATAATTTATACATATTTAATATTTGCATTTCATAATACTTTATTTTAATGTATTTTGTTTGGTTTAATTATTTAATTTTAAATTATTTAATTTTAATGTTTTAATTTTAAAATATTTAATTGTTTACCTTTACAAAATTTAAATCTAAAAATGCTTAATTAACTTTAAAATATTTTACTGTTAGTATTTTAATTTAAAAAGTATTTAGTTGTTTACTTTTCAAATATTTTCCATATCACCAAGCTAGGCCACAGCAACGAGTGGCTAGGAAAGAGGCCGGGGAGGGAGGGGGATCGCCGGGGAAGGGGCCCTTTGATGCCACGCACGGAAGGATGGGCGCGGGAAACCCTTTGAGGGATAGGAAGGGGCCCCAAAGACCATCCAGTCCAACCTCATTTTACAGTAAAGGAAGATACCATCAAAGCCCTCCCGACAGATGGTCAACCAGTTGGAAGGGAGTCCCAGAGGCCATTAAGTCCAACCCCCTTTGTCTGTCTGTATGTCCATCTGTCCTTCAATCCATCAATCACCCCATCTACATATCTATCTACCTACTACCTACCAACCTATCTATGTTCTATCCATCTACCTTCTGTTCCATCTATCAGTGTCCCTTCCATCTGTCCCTTCTGTCTATTGCTTCAACTGGAATTTCTCTCTTATCTGAGGGCCACAGCAACATGTGGCAGGGTACAGCTAGTTCACTCATAATGCTATAGTTCCTGCAAGGCTAGAGGGGTCTGAACTGTATCCTCTCCTCTTGGAATCAGATGGGTATCCTTTTTTATACTTCACTACTTGATTGCATGTGGCCGAATTTTTTGGCCACATGCAGAAGAAATTGGAAGGGACGGTGATACCACAAGATGTGAAGAGAGTGGTCTCTTATGGGAGGGGAATGTCAGAAGAAATGCTATATGTGTGTATACATGCACATGGTTTGCAAGACAGACAGCCCAAGTAGAAACTAGAGAAACAGGCTGCTGACTTCCTTCACAGGAAAGAAATTATAACCAATGATTTTGTTCTAGGAGCTAGAACAGAGCAACAGTCTTTTTGGCGCCAGACATTCTGGCCTAGAAATCAGGCTATGGCCATCTCTGAAGTAATTTTGTTTCCTTACAGCAAGCTAAAATTGAAGAAGAGCAACAAAGGGCAATACAGATTGCAGGTGAAACCTCAACATCAGATTCAAGACGACCACGGATCAAGAAAAGTGCATATTTTAGTGATGAGGAAGAACTTAGCGACTGATTTGTATTAGATACATACCTATGACATGTGTATATTTGTAGAGATTGTGTGACTGCTAAAACTTCCTTGCCATTGTAAATAAAAAGTATATTACTGAAAGAAAACCGATACTTATAATATTGTGAGCAAGTCTTGGTGGTGAAAAAGTACAGTGTATTCGAGACTCTTGATGTAAAATCATGTAGAACTTTATGTTTTATTTCAAATGTATTATGACAGTATTTCAGAAAATATATTTCTATAAACTTACTTTATTTCTAAAATAGGCATGAAATCTGTTGTGGTAAGAGGTTCCCACACTTGGAGTTACAATGTCTGAAGCAATTCAGCTATTCTCATTATGGACACAGTAAATGGCACAAGATATTATCCGGAAGGTCTTTATTATAGAGCATTACAATTTTGAAGAATATAACTAAAATGTGAGGGTGAAGCTAAATGTGCTTGGTGTCCTTTTTATTTCAGTTAATCCAAACAAAAATGTGAAAATGACTTGAGTTAGGATTGGTATTCAGGGAGCAGGAATTATTCTTCCTCTCTCTTCTGTTTCTGAGATATCTATTTTTCTGTATAACTGCATTTAATTTCACTTCGTGGATAAAAGTAATTTATGGAGCAGTAATTTAAACTACTGCTTCTTAAACTGAGTCCTAACCTCAAATGGAGTCCCTTAGCTCAATGCTGGGAACCCCAAAAATTGCAATAGTAAAAGTTTTCTGAACATCACCTTGTGGCTGTTTTAGATATTTGCAGAAATCTGTTGTGCAGTGTTTACAGTGCACTCTGCAGTAAATGTTTCATCTGTACTCCACAAAAAGAAAAATCAACCTATTTAACAAGCCTTGCAAAAGCTAGTTTGTTATCAGTATATTATTGTTTTTTATACTTTTTTTATATGCCTATATACCCAGAGTCACATAAAAATATCTCAGGCCAAATTTTTGAATGGCAACATTTAAGAAGCCCTAATTTAGACAACCACAGCAGGATCCCAACGCTTTCATGTCTTTAAAATTGCAGCCTCAATCATAGAATCATTGAATCCTTGAGTTGGAAGAGCCATCCAGTCCAACCCCATTTGGCCAAGAAGCAGGAAAATTACATTCAAAGTACCCCTGACAGATGGCCATCCAGCCACTGTTTAAAAGCCTCTAAAGAAGGGGCCTCCACCACACTCCAGGGCAGAGAGTTCCACTGCTGGACATCTCTCACAGTCAGGAAATTCTTCCTAATGTTCAGGTGGAATCTCCTTTCCTGTAGTTTGAAGCCATTGTTCCTCATCCTAGTCTCCAAGATAGCAAAAAAAAAAAAAAAAAACAAGCTTGTTCCCTCCTCCCTATGACTTCCCTTCACATATTTATACATGGCTGTCATGTCTTTTCTCAGCCTTTTCTTCTGAAGGCTAAACATGCCCAGCTCTTTTAAGTCCTTCTCCAGACCCTTGATCATTTTAGTTGTGATCAAAATTAGTTGACTTGTTTTTACTAAATGACAAAACGGTCAGCAAGAACACAGATCACTAATCCTATTGGATGACTAATTGGGGTTCCGCATTTGTTCTGCCACTTAGCCATTGGAACATTGGTTTCCAATCTTTGGTACTCCAGGTGTTTTGGACTTCAGCTCCCAAAATTCCTAACAACTGGTAAGTTGGCTCAGATTTCTGGGAGATGAAGTCCAAAACACCCAGAGGACTAAAGGTTGGTACCCACTGCACTAGAAGTATTAAGCCAAAATTAAAATCTGAATGAATGTTGTGATGACCCACAGTAAGCATGCTCACTTTCAAAGAGGTCCTGTGCCCCTAACCCTAGCAAATGTGGGCTGACTTACTAGTCTAAAGCCTAAATATGGTGTGTGGATTTGAAGGAGAAGGTAACCCCCCTCCCCATCCCTGTCTCCATAGATTTGAGTGAAGATCAGCTTACTGAGTGCAACACATTAGTTCATAGATATCCTGGAACTTTCTCTTTGCCATCTTTTATAATAGGCCTTGGGGACATGTGGGCCTCTAGATCTTGTTAGGATGTAGATCCCATCATTCCCACCCTCCTCATGCACTCCAGCAATATCATGCTAAGCAAACAAAAGGGAAATTGGAATGTTTTGCTTATAGCTTTTCCTTTCATTGGAAAAGATCCAGATGCTCCTCCAAAAGACAGCTTTCTTTTCTCTCCTTTTCCTAATGCTGGAGAGTAAAAGGCTGCAGAGATTTCCACAGTGGCTAGAAAGGGGTCCTGAAAAATCCAGTCATCCTTGGTATGTCTCCTCAGAATCATACTAGACATTAAAGGATATATGTGTTTGCTAAAACTAACCAATTGTTTCTCCCACTGGTAGACAGAAGATTAAACCCATGTTTACCATCTAACACCCAATTCCCAAACACAGCATACTGAACAAGGCAAATAAGGAATGCCAAGACAAACAGAAGCCTTTCACTGCATGGGGGAGGCCCTCTGCCAAAAACATACTGAACATCTAATTGGACGATAGGTTTACAGCACTGTCGACAAAGGCCAGCAGTGTAATTCTGCTAGATCTGCTGCTTACACAAGCTGAGCCTGTGGCTTTCTTCTCCCATATTCCTTCAGCATTTTGTGATGCTACGAACCTGCTCTAAAAGGATGGAGAAACCCTGGCACAAGCAAAATCTTCAAAGGGGGTGTGTTGGTGAAGGAAGTGCCAACCCACTGACAGTATGCCACAGTCATCTCGACCTAAAATTCCTTCTAGAATGAAACATTCATATATTCCAACTGTGCAATGTATCCTTTGCAGCCATGTTTTGCACAAGTACTATCTCCCCCCCCCCCAAAAAAAAAAAAAAAAAGATGGAGAAGTTGAAAAACCAGTAAAGGAAGGGTTACAGCAATTAGGTCAACAGGAAGAGATAAAAGCCTGTATGAAAGGCTTAGTCCCTGGTGAGACTGTAGAGGTCATACTAGCTCGAAGCAATTCCTGAGACATCAATGCAGGAATCTTCCTGTCTGATAAATACGATGATTCCTCTGGAGAGTTTCAGATCAAATGCATCTCCAAGGTTATAAGACCATCAAAGGCGATGGTTAGGAAGTGTGGGGCGGAGAAGGAATCCTGCACAGTAGCAAAACAATTCCCAATAGCCCATTCTTATCAGTATGCAGTTATAAGGAAATTAGAGGACATCCAAGTTTAGATATCATCATAGCAACAGTGGTACATTGCAAGCAGTCACGTGGCTTATTACAACTGTGATCGCATTCATTACAATTCATAAGGCAGCAGATAAAAGATTCAAGATTCAACACAACAAGCTGCTGCACTCTGGAACAATCTATGAGAGTTAAATACACGAGAAATCCAGTTAAAATTAGAAGAAAAAAACTACTCATGTGATCAATAGCAGCTACCCTTATGAACTGGTCCAGCCACTCAGCATTTTAAGATTCATCCTTGACTTAACTATATGGTTTTAAAGATCCATATTTAGGATGTTTTTCTCTTAGTTGCAGCTTCTATGTCAGGAGCCCCCGGTGGCGCAGTAGGTTAAACCCCTGTGCCAGCAGGACTGAAGACCGACAGGTCGCAGGTTCGAATCCGGGGAGAGGCAGATGAGCTCCCTCTATCAACTCCAGCTCCTCATGCGGGGACATGAGAAAAGCCTCCCACAAGGATGATAAAAACATCAAATCATCCAGGCGTCCCCTGGGCAACGTCCTTGCAGACAGCCAATTCTCTCACACTAGGAGTCACTCCTGACACGACAAAAAAAAAAAAAAAAAAGCTTCTGTGTCAGTGAGGTGATGAATCTATTTCACACTTTGGTCCAACTTCTAAAGGAAGTATCCAAGGTGCTGACGTTTCTTTGCAGAGGGCAAGCATTTTTTACATAGTGGTTCCCAACTGTGGAACCACCAGTGGTCTGCAAGAACTAAAATATGGTCCGCTGCCTTACCATTACCACACCATTGCAACAAGACTGACTGGTCTCGCAAAACCTTCTTATAGTGCCGAGGCTTATTAAATATGGTTTTCTGTGGGCAAGCAGACTACTGGATGGCATATGTCTTGTATCAGAAACTACAGCTGATGAGATCTATCCAATGTAATTTTCTGAATCAGCACCCCAAATAACCAGACCAAATCTAAAGTTGACCAAAAACTGATTTGTAACCCTTTTGGTACTAATGTTGGAGAGTGGTCCCTGGCCAAAGTGGGCCCTGATCAAGTGGGCCCTGGCTAAAAAAGGTTGGGGACCACTGGTTTACAGAGACATGAGAGGGCAGTTTTCTGCACGAAAGTATCTTCGGTTTGCAAGTTTGTGGCCAATCTATGTCCAGTTTCAAGCGCCAGGGAAAGAATGCGGCATTGAAGTTAGCATTGCAATGACAAACTATGGAGACACACTTATTCATAGTTTTCTGTTACATCAATGGTTAGATGTGTTATTTCTGCATATATTATAGTAACTATTTTTATATTTGCAGTTAATATAAATTATCCTATGCAACTGAATGCCCTCACTTTTTGTAATAGATTCCTTCTTTGGGGCAGTGGACTTGTGGACAATTGATGTACTTGTTTATTTTTATGTGTATCCCATTTTTCTTCTGAGAAAAGCTTATGAATCCCTTTGCCTACTATGGAAGCAGAACCCTATCTTAAATACCATTTTTTTTTTCTGATCCAGCACAGTATCATAGTCTCCAGACCCATAGTATAGTGCTCAAATCATACACCACTCTGGCTTTACCCCACTAGAAATCTGATTTGCCTCACTGGATATGTTCTTGTTTCCCAGATTCCTAATTATCAAGTTAAGCCAAAAGCAAACTTCATTGCATTCAATGAAACAAATTCCTTGTTAGGTATGCAAAGGACAGGGTTGTTATGTGGTTTATGTGCTGTGCTTTGTGATAGCAGTGTCATTACATAAAAGTAATTGTTTGTACCAAACTTCATAAGGGGATTAAAATATATGCAGTTGCAATTGTCTGAATCATTGCCAAGAAGAGAGCTATGAAAGCTGTTAAAAATAATGCTGATGAGAAATGCGTGCCATCATCTAAACTGTGAGAACAATGATGTACTTTTACTGTGGTCAGATACTGTCCTTGAATCA